AGGTCAGGGGTGAGGGGTGGGACTTTGGGTCCCAATATGGTGACCAGGGGGTGGAGCAGTTGTCAAGGGGTGGCCATGCGGTCCTCAACAGCTCACCAAAACTTAAGTGGCCCGCCATCTAAAATAATTTCCCACCCCTGGGTTGGGGAAACCTCTTTGAATATGTGTAACTAAAGAGAGGATATGCTCAGAGGTTGTGACCTAACATGTTTTTGAAGTTATAAAAAGTTTGAATTCAATTAGCTTGATATTTATGGAGAGGTTCATAACTTTCCCTAGTTTGTTAGGGAATGCGTAAAGTCAAAATCTGATTTGTAATCCATGTCAAGCACACTTTAAACTACTCTATCACATATGGGGAATCTCAGTGTTTTAAAATCTACCCAAACCTTTAGGATGTGCTGTTTCTTCTGTCTAACCTGTATTAGTCTTACTCCATCTGCAGAATTCACTTAAACATAAAGATTACAAGGCACTTTTACTCATTTAAGGTTAAGCAATTTAAAACAGTGCTTTCTAATTACAAAAATAAGGAAAAGTTTCCCATCTGTTGTTTTTCTCCTACTGTGAAAGCTGTCAAAGCTCTCCAAGACCTTTTACCAGAAAATAATGGAATTTAGAAAACAAGACCTTATGTTCAGCTTCAGTTGATGAATTTAGCTTTTCAAAAATGTCCATGAGTAGAGTATGATCTTCTCTGATTTCACCAAATAATTTCTACAGATAAGAGATGGTCTTTTCAGTTTTCACAAGCAGTTTACTGAGAGCATATGATATTCATCATAGAAATGATATTGATTAGGTTTGATTAAACATAGGTCATGTGTTCCTGGATAACTGCTCCACCAGGACTTCTAAGGGAAACTAAATCTCATGTTGTAATTAGACCTCACATAGCTCTAGATATTCTTCACTGTAAAGTGGTTGGCTAGAAAGTTTGTGGTAAATGAACACAAAAGACATGAAACAAAGTAAAACAATTTACAGTGTTTTTGTCAGAGATATTCTCAGCTATGATCCCAAGCCACAATAACATGTTCTTTCCCACTCCAAAAGCATGTTTTGTCTTTCTCCATTTTGAATTTGAGAGAATGCAACAAAATGTGATTACAGTGGATGGCAGAAGAATAGGTATTGCATTACCCTTTTTCTCATTGTTTACATGCATTTTTTCATAGAAATTACTCTTTGGTAATAATATACTTAAGCAAAGGATTCTTAACAAAATGTGTATACTATATTTTCACAGAAGTAGTAATTCCTGATATAAGCTCAAGTTTTTGGAAAGAATCTTTATATTTCCCCCTAAAAGTGATATTTATTAGGATGCATGAACATTTGTGTGTTCGTTCTAGAAGAGAGGCACATAGTAAAAATGTATACCTTTACTGAGTATCAAACAAGCTGCTCATAGTTAATATTTTCTTCTCATTTGAAAGGTGTCACTGGTGCTACAAATTTAAGGGCAGTTCCCTCTACCTAAAGCTAAAGAATATAATAGGAACTAACAACTTCCTGAAAAATATATTTTTAAAAGGTAATTAATAGTATGCTGTACGTCTGAAGTATAGCTACCCTCTGGGTGCATCTACACTACATGGGATTGCCAGCTATGTAGCAGCACACTCCCTGGGTATAGTGCACCACTATGGCAACGTAGCAGTGAAATCTACCTATGCACCATGAACACGATGCAGTAACCACCCATACTGGTTTAGTACTTCCATAAGGACATACTAAGCACAGCACCATAGCAACAGCACCATACGGCGATATGTAGACGCACCCTCTGACTCTTAAATTTGGTCAGGCATGCAATACAACTTCAGTCATAGTAGTGAAGAAAAAGTCCATTTTATAAGACTGCCTTGTGACCCCATACCAGAATAAGCAAGAGACCATAACAAAATATAACTGCTGGAGACCTTGGCTCCAAGTAACCACTTTGCCCTGACTAGCACTTAGTCCATTTACTGACATTTAATTCTATGGACTAGATCTGATATATTGACAGATTTCGAAAAAAACCACTAACATACAGCAAGAGTGTGAAATGGTAACATTAAGCATTTGTGTTTATTGGCTCAGACATGTTGAGTATCCTAGAGTAAAGCTAAGAGTTATATTTTCTCATTACTTGCATTTATAACATTATTAAAAATGGGAACAGAATTAAACACTAAACTTGATTTTTTTTTTTTTACAGGTTCAAGATGCATTCAGATGTCGATTAAGAAACTGCCAAGATCCAATCAATGCAGATTCTTCTAGTTCTTTTCCTAATGGGCATGCTCAAATTATGGTTAGTTTTTATATTATCCTTGACTTCTAAATATATGTTCCTAGCCACAGTAAAACGTACATACGGTACTGCATAGATCAAGTATGTGTACATGAAATATTAATATAGTTTGTAAGTATAAGTCTGACTTCAGCTTGTTATCTATTTTCTGAAATTTCTTAGAAACATTCAAGTTGTTGGTTCAGTAGTCTGTTGAATAACACTATCCTGTGCTGATTCTCTGCATACCAAGGTACTAAAACATCAAAGATTCTGCCTTTGTGGACAACTGGAACAACAAAATCTGTGTAGATTGTGATTTGTCAGGGTTGAATGGAGAAAAGAGAGCAACCTCCTGAATTTTTATATCCACAAGTGTACCATTGCTCAGTAGTAATCTTTCTAGGAAACTTAACAGGATTCCTGCTTCCCCTGCTTCAAAAGAAAAATAAAAGAATACATCAGACTGTCAGACTGAGAGAAAAGTGGGAGGTGAGGAGGTGGGAGTCTATAGGAGGTTTGTAAAAAACTGGCTAGCAGAAGTCACTGAAAGCATATGCACATTGTTCTGGATTTCCTAATAACCCTAGATGTATAGTAGACCTGTGTGAAGCTTCTAGTATTTGCTTCAGATTCAGATTCAGCTGATTTGGGGGACAGTGATTCAATCCGGTGATTTGAATCACTGCCCTGAATTGATTCAGCCGAATCTGATTTGGAGATTTGGCCGCCGCCGAATCAGCCAAGTCTCCAAACTTGCCGTATCCCCCACCTGCTCTCCCAGCCCTGTCAGTGGCTGCCCTGCCCAGCCCCAGCATCCCAGCTCTTTAAAAAAAAAAAGGTAAACTCCGCACTCACTGGCTGGTGCCAGGTGGGGGTGGGGGGGTGATGCCTGCTGCACCCCACTGCTCCACACCATGTGGGGGAGTTCTGCCACAAGTCCCCAGAAGCCCCTATGGCTGCAGCAGGTGAGTGCGAGGCTTTTTTTTTAAAGCGCCAGGACATGCGCTGGGCAGGGCAGCCACTGACAGTGCTGGGAGAGTGGGGAGGGGTCAGGG